ACTTATTCCTACTCTTTGCTTCCCGTCTGCGAACCAGTTCTCTATCTATATCAGTACACTATCTCCAATTATACATGCTTTAATTTTCCATCAACTCTGTCATCTGGTACATAAGTACTGACTTTATTACCATCATTGGTGGCTATGGTTTCAGCTGTCTGAGCTTAATTCTGCAGTTCCAATCGAAGACTACCACCATGGAAAATCATGATGGAGCCAAAAACATTTTGAAGAAATTCTGATCCATAATTAGCAATATCTGTATTAGTCTTGATTGGTGTACTTAACAGTTGCGCAGCAGTACCCATTACCTGGTTGCTGGTAGCCAACAAAAGCACAACTAAACAGTAAAATGTAGAAGCACAATCAAAGGCTTAAGTAATTGCCATTACATAATATATGTGTAGGGAAACTGAAATTATCAGTGCAACTAACAAAGTAATATCCTTTAGACAAATTGCTGTAAATAGTAGAGAGAAGCCCCATCCCATCAACAGGGGGGATTGAAGTAGGAATGGGATAAACACCAAGGACGGAATGACGTATAACAAAGGGTATAAACAGATAACTTTGTGAAAGGACACCGGAAAACAGATAGCATTGTAATGGGGCAATTACAAACCATTACTTAGTCACTATGAACTCGAAGAGAATAACTTTGTTTTTGTTTCTGATTTACAGCATCCGCAGTTCTTTCGGTTTTTACTTAGGACTAAGATTCTTCTTTAAAATATCCCTACACCACAGTGACAGCCATTTAAGAAGGTTATCAAGACGCTCAGCAAAAATATATCCCAATAAAGAGGAAAGATTCTAGGGGAGGGATAAACCAACCATAGCTAACTAAGGAAGTTAGGATGAATATAATGTTGAAAGAGAAAGCATATAAGGAGGCAAAAGTCAGTGATAACCCCAAAGACTGGGATAACTTCAGAATCCATCAAAGAAGGATTAAAAAAGATAATAAAAAGAAAATAAACTAAGATGACAAACGAGCAAGGATATAAAAATCTGAAAATAAGAACTTCTTTAAATATACAAAAAGGAAAAGAGAAGTGAAAGTGACCACAGGCCCCTTAGAAAATGATACAGGGCAGAGAAGTTAAACAGATTTTTGCATCATCTTTATGGTGATACTTTGAACAGCTGGTGGACTGAAGTGCATCTGTTTCAATGCAGGAAGTGTAACAGGTAAGGCAGATGAGCTTAGAGCTTGGATTAGTACTTGGAACTGTGATATTGTTGCTATTACAGTGACTTGGTTAAGGGAGGGACAGGATTGGCAGCTTAACGTTCCAGGATACAGATGTTTCAGGCGGGTTAGAGGGGGATATAAAAGGGGTGGGGGAGTTGCACTACTTGTTAAGGACAATATCACAGCTGTACTGTGGGAGGACACCTTGGATGGCTAATACAGCGAGGCAATATGGGTAGAGCTCAGGAACAGGAAGGGCGCAATCACAATGTTTGGGGTTTACTATAGGCCTCCCAACAGCCAGCAGGAGATAGAAGAACAGATATGCAGGCAGATTTTGGCAAATGTAAGAGTAACAGGGTTGTTGTCGTGGGTGATTTTAACTTCCCATATATTGACTGGGACTCACTTAGTGCTTGGGGCTTGGATGGGGCAGAGTTTGTAAGGAGCATCCAGGAGGGCTTCTTGAAACAGTATGTAGATAGTCCAACTAGGAAAGAGGCCGTACTGGACCTAGTAATGGGGAATGAGCCTGGCCAGGTGGTTGATATTTCCGTAGGTGAGCAGCTCGGGAACAGTGATCACAATTCAGTAAGCTTTAAACTATTGATGGATAAAGATAGATGTAGTTTCAGATAAAGGAGCTAAATTGGGGGAAGGCTAATTACAACAATATTAGGCAGGAACTGAAGAATGTAGATTGGAGGCAGATGTTTGAGGGCAAATCAACATATGTTATGTGGGAGGCTTCCAAGTGTAAGTTGCTAGGAACTCAGGACCAGGACATTCCTTTAAGGATGAAAGATAAGTATGGCAAGTTTAGGGAACCTTGGATAACGAGAGATACTGTGAGCTAATCAAAAAGAAAGAGACAGGATTTTTCAAGGCTAGGAGGCTGGGAACACACGAAGCAAGAGTGGGATACAAGGAAAGTCGAAACAAACTTAAGCAAGGAGTCAGGAGGGCTAAAAGGAGTCATGAAAAGTCATTGGCCAACAGGATTAAGGAAAATCCCAAGACTTTTTATACATATATAAAGAGCAGAGGGTTGGCCCACTCAAGGACAGGGAAGGGAACTTATGTGTGGAGCCAGTGGAAATGGGGCGAGGTATTAAGTGAATACTTTGCATCAGTATTCACCATAGAGAAGGACTTGGTGGATGATGAGTCTGGGGAAGGGTGTGTAGATAGTTTGGGTCATGTTGAGATCAAAAGGGAGGAGGTATTGGGGGTCTTGAAAAACATTAAGGTAGACAAGTCCCCAGGGCCTGATGGGATTTACCCCAGTATACTGAGAAATGCAGGGGATGAAATTGCTGGGGCCTTGAGGGAAATCTTTGTATCCTCACTGGCTACAGGGGAGGTCCCAGAGGATTGGTGAATAGCCAATGCTGTTCCTTTGTTTAAGAAGGGTGGCAGGGATAATTCAGCTAATTACAGGCCAGTGAGCCTTACGTCAGTGGTAGGGAAATGATTGGAGAGGATTCTTCGAGACAGGATTTACTCCCACCTGGAAATCAATGGGCGTATTAGCGAGAGGCAGTATGGTTTTGTGAAGGGGCAGTCGTGTCTCACTAACTTGGTTGAGTTTTTTGAGGAAGTGACGAAGATGATCGATGTGGGTAGGGCAGTTGATGTTGTCTGCATGGACTTCAATAAGGCCTTTGACAAGGTCCCTCATGGCAGGCTGATACAGAAGGTAAAGTCGCACGAGGTCAGAGGTGAGCTTGCAAGATGGATTTAAAAAACTGGCTTGGTCATAGAAGACAGAGGGTAGCAGTGGAAGGGTGCATTTCTGAATGGAGGGCTGTGATTAGTGGCGTTCCTCAGGGATCCGTGTTGGGACCTTTGCTATTTGTAATGCATATAAATGATTTGGAGGAGAATGTAACTGGTCTGATTAGTAAGTTTGCGGATGACACAAAGGTTGGTGGAATTGCGGATAGTGATGAGGACTGTCAAAGGATACAGCAGGATATAGATCGGTTGGTGTCTTGGGCAGAGAGACGGCAGATGGTGTTTAATATGGAAAAATGTAAGGTAATGCATTTTGGAAGGTCTAATCCAGATGGACAATATATAGTAAATGGCAGAACCCTTCAGAGTACTGATAGGCAGAGGGATCTGGGTCTACAGGTACACAGGTCACTGAAAGTGGCAACGCAGGTGGAGAAGGTAGTCAACAAGGCATACAGCATGCTTGCCTTCATTGGGTTGAGTTTAAAAACCGGCAGGTAATGTTGCAGCTTTATCGAACCTTAGTTAGGCCGCATTTGGAATATTGTGTTCAATTCTGGTCGCCACACAACCAGAAGGATGTGGTGGCTTTGGAGAGGGTACAGAAAAGATTTACCAGGATGTTTGCCTGGTATGGAGTGCATTAGCTATGAGGAGAGGTTGGAGAAACGTGGGTTGTTCTCACTGGAACAATGGAGGTTGAGGGGTGATCTGATAGAGGCCTACAAGATTATGAAGGGCATGGACAGAGTGGACAGTCAGAAGCTTTCTTCCAGGGTGGAAGAGTCAGTTACCAGGGAGATGGGTTTAAGGTGCGAGGGGCAAGGTTAAAGGTGATGTAAGAGGCAATCTTTTACCTAGAGGGTGGTGGATGCTTGGAACTTGCTCAGTGGGGAGGTAGTGGAAGCAGATACTGTCGTGACTTTTAAAGGGCGTCTTGACAAATATATGAATGGACGGATACAATCCCCGGAAGGGAAAGGGGTTTTAGTTGTGACGGGCAGCATGTCTGTGCAGGCTTGGAGGGCCAAAGGGCCTGTTCCTGTACTGTAATTTTCTTTATTTTTCTTTGTTCTTTAGCCCCTTAATACTAATGAAGGCAGGGGAGGAATTAACTACCATCACCGTCACTAGAGAAGTAGTATTAGATAAACTAATGGGGTAAAGACAGATAAGTACCTTGATCCTGATGGCTTGCATTATGGGATCCTAAAAGAGGTAGCCACAGAGATAGTGGATGCATTGGTTGTAATTTTCTAACAATCTTTGGATTGGCCAAAGGGCCCGTTTCCACACTGTAGGGATTCTATGATCTATGATCAGATGAGAAAGAAAATGTTCACAACTTGTTAGCTAAATTAGGTGAGACCATATAATTTATTGGAACTGATATTACAAATTATATAATAATTAGTAAAAAAAAATTGTATTTCCTGTAATGAGGTTGATGAGGAATATAAATTGTATAACAGAATTTTAAAAGTCCTTAAGTTATAGGCAAATATCCAATTTATTGGCAATTAGCATGGTGCAGTTGGCAAACGTTTGGGAAGGAATGTACTTGAATACACTGTCCATTTTGAGAAGCCCCAAGAAGGGAGATAAGAAAGTTTGGGAAACATCATGACACCATGGAAGACTGGAGGTTGACCTCAATCCTATCCATCTCTACTTGTTTAATCTTATGATTAGCTTAATTGGAAGCATGTGTAATTAGTTAATAATATGATTGACCTGTATTTGCTAAAAGCAGGATGAAACAACTGTATAAAATGTTTGTCTTTCCTTTGTTTGGTGATGAATTCTCCAGATCCTCAGAGGGTCTCTTCCCGCTGGTGTAATTTCATTGAGCTGTTTGATGCTGGAAGTGAACTCCCAGGTGTTGAATAATTTATTTGGTCATTTTCCCAACAGAGAATGAGAGGAAGGAAGTCTTAATCTAACTTGACAAGGTGCTGGTGAGACCACGTCTGGAATGCTGTGGACAATTTTGGTGCTTTATTTAAGAAAATATATTGATTCATTGGAGACAGATCACAGATGTTTCATTTGGATGATCCACAGGATGGAGGAATCGCCTTACAAGCAAGCCTAAACAGGTTATCTCTCTGCTTACTAGAGTTCAAAAGAATGAGAGATGAAACATAAAGGATTCTTAAGTGGCTTGACAAGGTAAATGCTTAAAAGATGTTTCTCCTCCTGGGAAAGTCTAAGACCAGAGGACATTGTCTCAGACTAAAGGGGTGTTAATTTAAAACTAAGATAAGGATGAATTCCTACTCTCAGAAGGTGGTGAGTTTTTGGAACTCCTTGTCATAGAGAGCTTTAGGAACAGAGCCCTTGTGTATATTTAAGGCTGAGAATGAAAGAATCTTGAGCAGTCGGGGGATCAAGGGTTAATGGGAAAGGGCAGGATTGTGGATGTGAGGAATGTTGAATCAGCCTTGATGGTATTGAATAGTGGTGCAGGCTTGAGCAGCTGAATGGCCTACTCCTGTTTCAATTCCTTATGATGTTATGGGCATATCATTCAGGCTGATTCTATGGCAGGTGGTGCGAGAATCAACGCAAAAAACTTATTTGACCTTGTCCCTAATCAATCCACCTGTTAAAGGTGCAGCTGCCCATGACTTTATAGGTAGGAGTGACAACTGTGCAGTCATTGTGGGTATGAAGTCTTATCTTCACATTGAAGATTTTGTCTGATGTGTCATGTGGCATCATAGCTGTGATAAATGGGATAGACTTCAAATAGATCCAGCATCTCAAAACATCCATGAGGTGTTGTGGCCAAAAATGACAGTTGAATTGTATTCAACCACAATCCACATCCTCATGATCCATCTTCTCCTTGTCCTGACGTCTCCAGTATCGTTGTTGTCAGTCTTCAGACAATGTGATTCAGTCCACATAATATCAAGAAATAGGCAAATGCTTTTTATGGGCTGTAACAACATTTTGGCAATGGTATTGAACTAGTGTGCCATAGTTAAGCTGTTGAAGTACAATTACAAAAATGACATTTACTCAACAATATAGAAAATTGGCCAAGTATGCCTTGTCTGTAAACAGATGGCAAAATCCAACTTAGATAATTCACACCTTCTCTGGGACAATTAGGTTGGATAATAAATGCTGGACTAGCCATCATCCCATGAGCCAATATAAGAAGTTAGGAGTAACTGTCATTGCAGCTTAATTTTATGATATGCCAATAATAGTCTTCTGTAAGATGTGATGGTGGCCGGTGGTCAATATCAAATGGCTTCTTATGATCAACTCCCAGGTAGCTGAGCAGCTCGTAGTGTGAATGTTTGGACCATTGGCCCTCCAGAAAGGAAGATGCTGACCTTTTCTCAGCAAGTTATAAAACACTTCAAACCCAAAGAAAATCAATTTATAATCCCTCATCAGATGCTGTTAGCTATGGCTTTTAACCAATTAGTAAGAGATTTTGTAAATATAAACCAGTCACCCTTTACCTCCTGCAAGCAAGTGAAAGTACCTGGAGAAGAAAGATTGAGGAACGGTGAGTCCTGACAAGCCAAAAAGAATCTTGTGGACAGGGACCATTGAACTCCTCCTCAGTCTTTCCTTCCACACATATCACTTGCACTGTTTTATGTCTGATTGTATGTGTGTGTGTAGGGAGAAAGTTTTACAGGCGATTAGAGACTTTTAACTAGAATTAAAAGTTGATGCTTCATAATTGTTTAGCCAGAATCGATTTTATTTGCAACAAATATTTATTCTTGTTTAATACAGAAACATGATCTATACTCTGTCAAAATGAGTGTAAAAGAAGGTAAGTTGGGGAATTTTTCATATTTATAACATAACATCTTTTAAGTTTTGTGATGACTCAGGGCATCTCAAGGCTGGATTTCTAGTGATCTACCCAATGAGCCATAACAGCACCAGGATCTGCATCATTTTATATATGTATTAGGCACAGCAGTTGGTGTCAATATTAACCCCTAGGGAACACCACTACAAATCTTCTTCCAGCCTAAAAAAACTCCATTAAGCATCGCTCACTTTCTTATTTCTCAGCCAGTTTTATATCCACGTTGCTTCTGAAACATTTAGTCCTTGAGCTATAACCTCTTCACAGTACTATTGTGTATCCCTGCATAGAATACCTTTTTTTTTGAAAGTCAATGTACAAAATATCAATGGCATTGCCCACATCAAACCTCTGCTCCTATTCAAAAATCTAAAACAAGTCAGTCAGACATGACTTTCCCTAACAAATCCATGTTGGCTCTTCCGAAGTAACCCATATTTTTACATGTAAATCTTAATTCTATCATGAATAATTGTTTCTAGTTCTTTCCTGATCATCAAAATTAACAAGCCAGTAATTGTCAGTTATCTATACAACCATTTGTGAATAAGGGTTTGCAATTCTCTAGTCCTCTGACTTCATCCTCAATCCAGGGAGTATTGAAAAATTATTGCCAGTGCAAACTGATTAATGGACTTCTTGAACTGTCAGGTGTGGGTACAACAATTCCAGCCTCACCCCTCCCCATTGGGAAGTCAGAGACTCTGAAGACTTAGGTTGCTCATCCATATGACAGGATCAAGCAAAAATGTAAGCATTTTGTGGGGTGTAGGAAGCTGCCTGGGTGGGAAGAGGGGTTTGGGGGATCAGAGGCAAATGCAGGGGTGTGGCTCTCAGTGGCTATACGTTACCATCATCTTTGCCCCCAAATGCACCCTGACATTTGGAACCTTCTGCAGACCCTGTGGACAGACTGACCCATTTCCTTTGGACAGAGAGCCTTCTTATCTGGTAAGAAGGCAGATAATTGGGCCAACAGAGAATGGAGTCTCTAAGTTGTCATTAATTGACCATTTAAATGCCTTAACTGGTGGACCTTCTGGACAAGAGCTGAATTCCAATGTGGTAGGTTATCTCTCTAGTACTAACCTGATTATTTGCCCTTTTTCCACCTTGCTCACCACTTCCCGGAAGGGGAACATCCCACCCAATGTTTCCAGTCAATGATCATTCATCAGAACCCATAGATGTTGCTTGACTTGTGAAACACTTTCTGTATTTTCTCTTTTTAGTTCAGATTTAAACCAGGGCAGGACTTGTATTTAATAGTAGGGCCCTGGGGAGTGTTGCTGAATAGAGACTAGGAGTGCAGGTTCATGGTTCCTTGAAAGTGGGGTCGCAGATGGATATGGTGGTGGAGAAGGCATTTAGTATGCTTGCTGTCATTGGTCAGAACATTGAGAGTAGGATTTAGGATGTCAAGTTGCAGCTGTACATGACATTTGTGAGGCCCCTTTTAGAATACTATGTACAATTCTGATTGTCCTCCTTTAGAAAGGATGTTGAACTTGAGAGGGTGCAGAAGAGATTGACAAGGATGTTGCTGGACTGAAGCATTTGAGTTAAAGGGAGAGGCTGAATAGGCTGGGGCTTTCTTCAGTGGAATATTGGAGGCTGAGGGGTGAATAAATCTTTATTGAGGTTTAGAAAATAATGAAGGGCCTGAATAGGGTGAATAGCCAAGGTCTTTTTCCCAGGGTGGGGACGTCCAAAACTAGAGGGCATAGGTTTAAAGTGAGAGGGAAAGATTTTAAAAGGACTTGAGGAGTAACTTTTGCATGAAGAGGGAGGTGTGTGCATGAAACAAGCTGCCAGAGGCAGTGGTGGAGGCGGGCACAATTACAACATTTAAAAGGCATCTGAATGGATACATGAATAGGAAGTGTTTAGAAGGACCTAGGCCAAGTGCTGGCAAATGGGACTAGGTCAGATTGGTGTGTCAGGTATGCGCAGACGAGTTGGACTGAGGGGTCTGTTTGCATGCAGTATGACTCTATGACTATAAGTCTACCTGAAATATTCTTATTTTTGTGTTGCTGTAGGAAGTGATAACCTGTTGGTTTCCACTTTGAAGACAATCAGTGACTCTAGAACAAATTTGTTGCAGTTTTGAGAAGCATTTCAAAAGAAAGGAAGACTTGCATCCAATATCTCAAAGTGCATTACAGTAATTAAGTTTAAGTCTCTGCACTAATCACAGAATCATTATAACATAGCAGGAGGCCTTTCAGTGCATCATGTCTGCATTAAATCCCCGAAGGAGTAATTTACCTAGTACTACTCTCTGCCTTTTTCTTGTAGCTCCACATATTATTCCTTTTCAGATAAAGATTTCATTTCCAATTGAGTGCCTGAATTGAACTTGCTTCAATCACTAAGTCTGTGCATGCTAGATCCTAACTAGTACTTAAATGTTTCTCTTCAGTGCTAATGAATCACTGCCTGAGGCTCATATGCAGAAATATTGAATGCTCTGAACCACTTATAACAGCTTTAATTCTCCTCAAAGAATTCAAAGGCCAAGAACTAAAGGCTTTCCTAAGCTAAACAAGCAGCAAAAATGGCAGATGATTTTTGAGTTAACTGAAAGAAGACCTGTCCCAAAGTATTTTGGAATCTACAAACTCCCACAGGCAAGGAAGAAATAAAAATGAAACAGAGGAAGATGAATCAGGATGACGACAAAGTGGAAAGAATGAGGAAAAGGCAGAACTGTCCTCAATTTTTCAGACAAGTAGGAAATTATCCTACATGTTTCCAAATTGGGCAACCTGGACATTTAGGTGACAGCTGTTGGCAGGTAAAAGACCCGCAGACAGACATGCTGCCAAACCAATATGAGTGGTCACAAAAGTTGTAGGTCTCAATGCAAATATAATGGTAGCAGATACCTACCAGGACTTGTATTTAAAGGAAAAATGATTTCCATCTGTTTCAAAAAGATAGCAAAGGAGGTCATCATTCTCAGAAACGTTGTCTGTTTGCAAACTTTGCTGGTAGGACAGACTGAAGAATTTCTACCAGCTAGAATTCCAAAAATCTGACTCTGCTAAACAGTTAGCTAGTTATAATGAACCATCAAATTAACTAACAGTGCAACTTACACTAGCTGCTAGCTTGTTAAATGCTAAAGGCAAAACTTAAGCAGCTTTTAAAAATATTACAACTCTTAAAAGCTCTTCACTCAAATTCCCCAAGTTAAGCAAATTATCTCGTGAAGTGGTATTCCATTGAACTGGATTTTGTTACATAGTGACAAGTATTAAAATTTGTAACCAAACAGTGCGAATGAAGGAAGCCCATAAGCATTATTTTTATTAATGTA